TATTATATGGACTAATGTTGTGAAAGTTCTTTCATGTTGCTTGTGTGGTTGATTGATTTTGTTTGATGATACATCAACCTCTATGGCTTATTTAATACTGAAATCTAAATATTTTGTGTGTAATTTTATGCTTTTAACTACAAATATTTTGTACATAATTTTCTACTTTCAGAGCAAAGTTATGTTTAGATATATATTTTTTTAGATCATAAAATGTATTGTCGGTAATTTTACTATAAAATTTTCTTTTTATATTTTTTTTGCATTGTTGGTCATTTTCTTATGAAAATGTACTGTTGATATTTGTTTGGGAGTTCACTATTTATCCATAGCTGGGACCCTAACAGATGCTATCACTCCAGGTTAGAGGTGGACCTGGGAACAACACCAATTAAGAGGTGGTTCCAGGCTCCTCAAAACATCCAATCTTTCCATCAGTGGTCTTGCTGTCAGATATAATCTATAGTCATACCCAGGACAATCTAGAAACAGGAGGTATGTTTGCTTATTGTGATTCAGTAATATCACTTGCTACCATGACAACAGAATATATATTTCTAAGAAGACCAAGTTGCATGGTGGATAAATATATGTTTTGTTTTATATTATGAAATGCATTATAAATATGTTAACATTTTCACACAATATATTGATGGTGTAAGAAATGGTTGACACTTATCTCTTGGGTGTTGCCTATTTTTAAAAGCAATAATTCTTGGAGCAGAATTAGATTTCTTCATTGTTCAAAAGCTTTAGTGCTATGACATTCTGGGGTCAGTGTAAGCAGCCATGTTAACTTTGCTAGTGGCATGTGAAAAATCATCAGAATCCTTGCTGAAATGAAGTGAAAGGAGAAAGGTTATGGTGTGTCATGGAACTGATAAAGCAGAGAAGAAGCCATCGAAGTGGAAAATTTTATTATTATTTTTGTTTTTCTTTTTTGGTTGTCAGATATAATTTCCGTTCTTTAAATAAGTGGGCGGCAGAAAACTGAATATTAGTTTGGGAATCGTTGTATGAGATTTTGTAAAGTACAAAAATGTTCAAGCTGCATAAAACAAATATCCATATCAAAATGGCAAGAAAAATTTTGCTGGCAGATTGTTGATTTAGCACCACTTAAAAAAAAAGAAAAAAATCAAAGTAATTCTCTTGTTTGCAGAACATATTACTCTTCAATCTCCCATATATGTGTGTGTATATATATATATGTGCACGTGTTTCTATGTGAATATATGTTATTATACTGGAAACAATTTTAAAAGAAGTTATTTCTGCAATAATTATATATATATATATATATATATATATATATATATATATATATGTATGTATGTATGTATGTATGTAAATTTAACAGGCCTATTAATGAAATTTGAGGAATATAAATACAACAGAATGATAACAATACTGGCAATAAGATTGATCATATATATATATGATATATTAATAGGCCTTTTGAGTAAATTATTTTAAGGTTGGAATTTTCGGACATGCCTGTGTCCTTTTTCAATGAGATGAGTGAGAAATAAACAAAGAAGTGGGATTGACTCTTTTGTGGAGTAAACAAAAAATCCTGTTTAATCCTTTAATTTGTGATTATATATATATATATAGTACAGGTGGTATATAATCCAGGTGGATCCTAGTAATATTAATTATTAGAACTGATCCACAGAGAGCTCAATGTGTTTATTTTAACAGAGAATATGCATTTTTACTGGTTTTTGCTGTTATATATATATATATATGATAGGAAAAGAAACAAATAGGAAGGGTTTATAAGTTTATTCCTATTCTATCCCTGTCTTTGAAATCTCTCTCTATATATATCATTAATTATAATTTTTATTGTGAATGTGTTCCACCTTTATTAGGCAGTAAGATATATATATATATATATATAGCTTGTTCTCTTTGACTCATGTCTCCAATTCTGTTCAGATTATGTGTCCTACCAACACACAGTTAATTTTACAATACAACCACAAATGATTTGGGTACTTCATTGTAGTATAATGAATAGCAAGCTTGGCTTGCTAGATCAATTATGATTGTGTGATCAATTCAATCCTCACTGGGTACTTCATAATTTAACCTTGTGCTACATCTAAGTTATGCTTAGAAAATCCCTATAGCCACAAATGATTTTAAAAGAAGTTATGGCTGCAATGCACATATATATCTCTTTCTTTGATGCATGTTTTGTTAAATACGATTCACAAAGAATATATTGCAAGTTCTTATTTAATTATTCTTGTGCTCTTAAAAAGGTCACTTCTCTTGCTATTTTCAGAACAAATTGAGCTTCAATATTCAGTTTGTGAATATATATATATATATATATATATATATAGATATATATATGCATGTGTATGAATATGCAAGTAATTATACTTTATAACCCTGAATGATTTTAAAGGAAGTTATTGCTGCAATATATATATATATATATATATATATATATATATATATATATATATATATATATATATATATATATATATATATATATATATATAAAATTAATTATACTATATAACTACAAATGATATTAAAAAGTTATTTCTGCAAATACATATGTATTTTGGCATAAATCCTTATTTTATGCATATTTCATGAAATATGACAGACAAAGAATATCTTGAGAGTTTTAGTTTTATTTTTTTTTGTATCTTTACAAGTCCCCTTTTTGTTTTTCTAACAGCATTTTATACAAAAATCAAACACAGAACATTCTGGCTTATATGATGGGATGGAACAAAAAACACCCAAAAAACAAAACATCAATTAATAGCCTTGTATACAAATTTGGTTAGAATGTTTTGAGCATGTTTGGATAATAAGCAAAACTTTACTAAAATAAATATTACTGCAACAAAAAATATTTCTCACATAAAAAAGAAAAAAAAAAGAATATATCAATAATCCTCATTAACATGGAATATTATATATTGGTCAGTGGTGGAGAAGTCTATTTTTACACAAGATTGCATAGCTCATCTCTCTCCAGAGGTCATATGACGAATTGTGGAATCAATGCCATGTTGAATGTCAGACACAAAGTTAGGCACCTATATTATGACAATATATTTTCCAGCAAAAAAACAAAAATTACCTCAACATCAGAATAGACTATTTCAAACCATCCTTTAACAGCTTTCGTCAGCCACTCAAGCCATTAAAGGTTGGTTTGAAACAGTCTATTCCATTGTTGAGGTAATTTTGGGTTTTTTGTAGTAAAAAATACATATGCTCTGTTAAAATAAAAACATTGAGCTCTCTGTGGATCAGTTTTAATAATCATTATTACTAGGATCTACTCGGATTATATACCAATGGATTGATTACCTGTACTATATATATATATATATATACACACACATACATACAGGGTGTATCAAAATACCCTTACAAACTTTAGAGAGCAAGTTCCTGACACCAAAACAAGGTATAATATTCATATAAACATACCCAAAAGCCCATCGTTGTACCTCAACACAGCAACTCATAACAAATGTTCAAAATGTCCTCTGCTTTCTTCTACACACACATGAACTTGTCGGATCACTTACCGTGTAGAATGGTTTCGCAGAACCCATGATATGTTGAAGAATTGTCTTTGCATTATTGATGTCTGCTACATAAACCAATTGTTTTAGGTGGCCCCACAGATAAAAATCAAAAGGATTGAAGTCATGGGAATATGCAGGCCATGGAACCAGTTCTCTCTTACCTATCCATCTTTCAAGGTAGCTGTCACCCAGTACATAACATACAGTGTGACTAAATTGTGCTGGAGCCCAATCATTCATGAACTACATGCATTTTCATATTAGCAGAGGTACGTCCTCTAGCAGGTCTGGAAGTGCGTTTGAAAGAAGATTCCTGCAGACCGCTCTTGTAAGACATGCTGGGAGAACATATGGACCTACCAGACAATCACCTACAATTCCAGCCCACACATTAGTTGTAAACTGATGCTGGTGTCTAGCCTGCATTGTACCAAGGGGATTCCAATCCATCCACAATTGTTGATTGTGTAAATTTGTTATTCCAGCTCTTCAACTAAAGAGACAAAGAATTAATCAGCAGTTTATGCAATAAACCATCAGCAAAAGCTCTCTCATAGTGAGTGATCAGAGGGCAAAAATTCCCAGCATATGTTGCAAATGATATGGTTACAGGAGCTACCCTTGAAGTAACCTCCATGCGGTACCATGAGATGTGCCACATGCTTGGGCCACTTGACCTTAAAACACCTGTAGATGTGTTCTTCATGGTGAGGTGTACAAGTAGGTCTCAGTCTTCCTTGATCCATAGTTTGTGGTATTAAGGATCCAGTCTTAGCAATGCAATGATTAACAGTAGCAAAGGTTGAATGACTTGGCTACCTTCAGTCTGGAAACGCAATCTGATACAGCCATGGAGCCTCGTATTCATCACCATTCGTAAAGATGTATGTAAAAATCATATCTGCCTGCTCAAGGTATGAATATCCTTCCATTGTTAAATGAAACACTTCACAGTTAACTCACTACTACACATGTGAAACACTGAAGATAGACTAGCCACTAATGTACATGAATGACAAATGTAACCTAGTCTACATGGCAACACAGCACTATCTACCATAAACTTTCTTTAAACTTAATAACTCGAAAATGAAGGATTTGTGGATATATATTTATACAGACTTTTGTTCTTGTTTTTGATTGATTCATTTTCTATGGCCTTTAAAAACCCTTTTGCAAGTTATTTAAAGCCAGAAAATATTTATAGATTATAAGAATTCATTTTGGGAAAAAATAATGGTTTTTAGTGATACAAATCTTAGTAATTAATTCATAGCTGGTGGGAGGGTGGAGAAAAGGTGGATTCATACCTTTCCCAAGGGTAGTTGACCTAAGTGAATATAACAAACCCAATGGGAATTGGATTTTGTCTTTCCGAGTGACAATTTCAAGTCATTAGCCATTACACTACCCATACATCCAAGCTTTCAGCATCCAGTATTCCCAAGTGGTCACACATCTAGGTACTGACCAAGCTTGATGTTGCTTAACTTCAGTGATTATAAGGAAACTGTTGTTTTAAAATGATATGGCCATAAGCAACATAGTAAAAATAAACTTGGAATGTTTAAGTCGGTAATGTTTCAGTGGTAATTATATTTAAGTAATGATTGATTATACAAGAGGTGGCAATACTATCACATCCTATTTGTTAATTTTTCTATGCACAGATTTAGACATGGTGTGTAAATCATGTGCACCTATTAAGGCTTCTAAGAATATTTATATAAATGTATTTAATATTTTTACATAATTTTTTGATTTAATATAATTTCAAAATGAAAATTAATTCTCTGAATAAGAATTTGAAGTCTGTTTTCATTCTGCCTATTTTTAATTTTAGTTACTGACAGGAGCAAAGAAATTATTTAAATCTTTATCTGTTACTAACTTTATTCTAACTCATAACCTACTGATATCATTTGAAACAAATGACTTCTTTTTTCCATATATCTTAATATCAATGATAATTTTGGGATGTGAACATTTCACTGAAATATAATGGAAACCTTCCAAGTTTTCATTTGAAATCAAGAAAATATATTTTAGCAAGATGGTTACAATATATAAAGAAACTTTCAACTTAACTGATAGCAACTTGGCATAAGTTTAAAGTGAAGCTACCTTTTTTCTCCATGTATCTAAATGATAAACTTTTTATTCATAAATTTTCCAGTATATTTCAATTAAATTTTCACTTTTGAAAATGTCATTGAAATATAGTGGGAAATTTCAAAGAGTTAACTATAAATCATGAAAATACAAACCGTAAACAAAATGGTAGCAATATCTGGAAAAAAAAGAAGGTGTCAGTTTAAACTGACACTGGAAAGATATGGATTAAATAATCATACAAATTTTAAATCTTGGATATGTGTTGTGGTGCAATGGATATTGGTGTATTCATTTATGTGGAAATACCTCTGGAAAAGTGTGAAACCATAACTTCTCGTTCTAGCTATGGGTTGACTAGCAGGACAGTCTGGGTTCTATAGCCTTGGTTGGAAACCAGTCTACTACAGAAAGAAATGGCAACCTACTGCAAAAAAATCTTCTATTTAGTCAGTCATGAATCAAAAAGAGACAGGATCATCCAAGCGTATATCACTTAACTCATTGAATGACTAAAGCAGAGACAGTCAACCTTTCACATACCATGTATCAGTTTTGGAATTTACAACTTCAGATATGATTTACATATCATGTACTCTTGTCAATTCTTCTAAAAATATTTACATGAATATATTTAGCATTCTAAATTAATTCATTAATTTCATATAAAAAGTTCAGCATTAATTCCTTTAATGAGAAGCTTGAGTTTGTTTAGATTTCATCAAATTCTTAATATTTGGAATTAAATTCTTTACTGAGAACAGCAGAGAATTATTTCAATTTTGATTTCTTACTCATGATCTTATTTTGTTTTTAATAACTATCAAAGCTGAATTGCCAGTTCATTTCTGTGTGCCATTTTAAAATGGCAAAGACAATTCTGAGGAAATTTTCTTACTCCAAGAAAATGTTTGCGAGATAATGATTGCCAGAGGAATTCAGTATTGAGAGAATCTTACCAGATTATATTTTAAATAATGAATTTTTCCCCAGCATGATTTTTCTGTTTGTTACTAGGCATATTTATTCTTTATTGTTCATGAAGTGAAAATGGGTTTATATAAATTTAGCAGTTTTATATAATTTATTAATTTAATATAAAAACATAATCATCTTTTATTCCTTTAGTGAGGATCTTGAGTCTGTTTAATTTGGACCAAACTTTTAATGTTTAGAATTAATTTCTTTACTGACAGCACCAGAGAACTCTTTAATATTTAATTTGTTATTCATGGTCTCATTTTATTTTTAATCAGTATCATTGCTGAAATGCCAGTTCATATCTGTATGCCATTTTAAAATGACAAATATACTTCTGAGGAAATTTTCTTACTTCTGGCAAATGTTTGCGAGATAATGATTGCCAGAGGAATTCAGTATTGAGAGAATCTTACCAGATTATATTTTAAATAATGAATTTTTCTCCAGCATGATTTTTCTGTTTGTTACTAGGCATATTTATTCTTTAATGTTCATGAAGTGAAAATGGGTTTATATAAATTATATTTAGCAATTAATAATGTCAGAGGAATTTGTGCTTGAGAAACCTTATCAGATTACATTTTCAATAATAAAATTTTTTTCAAATCAAAAAGTTTCATAGTTTATGGTTTCTTATTCACTAGAATTTTTTTTTAGAAACAAATGTACACTGTTATAGGGAAAGCTTCCTTCCAAAAATTAAATGTTATAAAATAAAATAAGACATATCTTGGCTGATTTGCAGGCAAATAAACTAACATACTGTTGGGGCGCACCCACCTTCTAACTAGTAATGGACTGGTCCCTCTTATATAAGTCAGCTCTGGAGAGAGAGTGACAGAGCGTCAGGGAGAGAGTCAGCGTTAGCAGTCCAGATAAGCTTAACCGGTACATACCGTTGGACTATAGACTTTGGATATTGTTTCGTACTAACCAACCTTCGTTCTACTAATCACTCTATTGTTAATTGCTTTTATGAATATACCAGTATTTTCCTCTACAACTGTGTTTGTCTTGATTCATACACCAACACACGGGAAACTCACAACATCTCAACACATACTTATGAGTGAGAGGCGGATGTGAATAGGACAAGGCCCCGTCACAAAATGACCATTATCGTCGTCTACGCATAAGCCTGATACACGAATTCCGGTCAAAAAATAAAATAATATTTTAAAGTGTTTCTATTTTTCGACCAATAAAAATGCTTCCCTCCTGATTATACTCTTGTCATTTTACAAGCCTGTTAATCCATAAAAAACGCCATAAAAGGGGTCACACAGGGAAGTACAACAGCAGTCAACAGGAGTCAACTACTATGATAGATCAGCCCAGATCAGAAGCTGGCTTATGAACTATACTAAAAGGTAGCTGTCCCTAATCCACACGTTCCTATTGAAATAAATCACGTAAATCTATTTTTGCTGTTGTCGTATTTCTTTCTTGCAACCATCTGCTTGTCTTTAACATAAACAAAGTATCAATACACAGGAAAATTTCATTAGAAACAAAGAGTGCTGAGCTACTACATCACATCACTTGTTCTATATGGCAGTAAATGCTGGACAATCTCCTAAAAAATGAAGAGAATTGAATCAACAGAAATGTAATTCTTCTGAAAATACCATGGGCTGAATATCTGAATAACAAAGAAGTTTTAAGGTAAATGGAAACAAAAGGGCAGTTTAAATTTCTAATGCACATAATGGAGAAAGGAGGCTTGAAGAATTTGACCTTTGTAGGACATTTTGACTCACCTAACAGATGGAAGATCAAGGAATGCAAGAAATACTAAGAAGAGAAACATTTCTTAGAGTGACAAGGGATGGGAAGTTGTGGACCATCCATGTCCTGAAGGTACACAGTGCATAAAAGAAGTGAAATTGGGTCTATATATGCAAGTATGCAGTCTTGCTTGTATCTTATTGTTTATTAAATTTACGCTGGCTATAAATTTTTGTTTTTCTCTTGATCATTTTCTTTCCCATTTTGATAAGTAACTGTATTCTAAAAAAGGACAATATTTTTGAAAGAGTACAAAATTTGCAACTATTCACATAGAATAAATGAATGGAATATGATTCTCATTTATTAACTGACAGTCAAAAATCCCTGGGTTCTAATGCTCCACATCGAATGATGTAATGTGCCATTTTTGGTGTATGCATTATGAGGTAGCAACTTTTGGTTATATATTTACTTTTAAATATGTTTTGATTTTCATCAAATTCTGCTGTATCAGCAGACACATGTTCAGTCATTCATTCCTAGATTGATAAATGTTAAAAATGTCTGTTTTAGAAAAATATGTTATTACCTGTCTCTATGAGATAATTATGAAACTTATGACAAAGGAAAAAACTATCATGCAATATGAATTGATGTAAAAATGTCATGTTTTAACAATGATACTTTTAAAACACAACAGGTTTGTTTTACAGAAATATGATAGGGAATTTCTAAAAAAATGTTGGAAGATAGAAATGGAGAGTTTTGTTTGTTGAATATTTTCCCCTTCTGTTTATAAATATAAGACTATATTTGTTTTATATAGGAAGTTCCATCTCTGTTGATGTCTTGTTTTTCTTGGAAATCTTTAGGTAATGGTGGCAGCAGCAGCAGCACCAATTTCAAGCAGTAAAATAGTAGAGGAGACACAACAAGTTTAAGCAAATTTTTCATCATTTTTTTCTATCCACATGACAGAGAGAAATATAAAAAATTAATCCACATGCACACAAGCACATTAACTCTCTCCACCTAAAATATTATATATATATATATATATATATATATATATAAACAAATATGTATATGCATGCAAACATATATAAAAACACATACATACATTATATCTCTCTCACACACACATATATATATATATATATATATATATACACACACAACACACATTATTTGTATATTTTTTCTTATATTTTCTTTAAGAAAAACTTGAAAAGAATGATAGATCATGCAGGTGTTCAAAACATCCATTTTTAAAAAATCACTAGTTTTAAAACAGACTGTTAAAGAATAAATAAAGAAAAAGTATATATATATATATATATATATATATATATATATATATATATAGTGTATGTAAACATGAAAATCAACACTGTATGGTGACTACCAATTTCATGCTACAAGTAATCTTATTACAAAGTTATCTGAAGTTTTTATATATATATATATATATATCTATATATATCCTGCCTTGAAGCAATCAGATGTCTAGCCACACTGATGAGCTGTGATACAGTTAAGCAGTCTTTCTGTGGATGACACACACACACACACTATATATATATATATATATATATATATATATATATTAGTGCTGGAAACTTTTCAGGCTAATCCAGAAAAGACAACTAAAACTTACTAAAATTTTTTTCCTATTTGGTCATATTTGGAAAGTGGGTTAATTTGTAAATCTTT